TGTATTTATAGACAATTAGGTATACTTCTATCTGAGCTCCAAAGAAATGACTGAAAAAAATTCCTTTCTATTGGAGACATTTAAYATCATTTGCTCTAAAGGAGTCTAGCGAGAGTTTTAAGTAAGACAAYGTGAAAGAATTAAGGAATTTTGTTTAAATGCGATTTCAAAAGGTATATAAGTGATACTCTGTAGCTTACATGTAGCACGACTATACGCTCTAAGAGCATCTAGTAATGATAAAAAAATCGTCAATTGAACATAAAAAACAAAAATAGAAGAAATATTTATGATAGAAATGTACGAAAAATAAAAAAAGCAGCAAAATCTTCGTAGTAGTCTGGTATATATTTAGATTTTCAATTTTCATAATCCAGGATTTTAGCCCCTTGACCTCAACTAACATGAAAATCGCTATAACCGATGAAGCGACGAGATCCATAATATCAAATAACAAACAAAGTACTAGATTATAAACAAAAAAACAACAGAAGTATAAGTAATACTAAAATTGAAAGAAGAAAATCACTTTTTTATTATTAAGTCTTTAGAGCTAATAATTTAGCTTCGATCGCCCGAGTGACTGATATACGGCTTACACCGTAGCGTATTTATTCCCTTAAAACATTCGATACCAAGACAAATGATAAAAAATAGCTTTTTCATCTTTAGATAATTCGATGATAAGCAGAAGTTCTAGCAATTAGTAAAGCGAAATGATGGACAAGGCTCCCGAATTTTCTCGAGCTCTCAACACGGTATCAATTATGAAACACTTTGAAAGCTGAAAAACAAAATCTTTAAAACATAAAATGATAAAATACATAACCCAGAAAGTTTACCTGTTAAAGAAACAATCTTTATCTCTAAAGCAAACAACAATTTGTCGTGTCTACAACAAATAGGCYAGTAAACRAATTCTCCTGGATTTCACTTTCACACTTCGTACAATCCGCCATGTTGAAGTTGACAACGTGACGTCACRTGTATATACAGAAGATTAAGATTTGTTGCCATTGACAACAGTGTTGATTTATATGGTGCTCCAGAGAACATTTTCCTTTTGGYCCCAGCTTGGACAGTTATTTAGGTTTTGTCATTTGTGCATTCATTTATCTATTTATAATGCAGTCTATTTATTTATTCATTTGTTTATACATTAATTTCATTTGCCTTTGAAAAAAGGAAAGAGTGTTCGATGGCACTTTTTACTGGTTTAAAGGCGTACTTTTTAGGGTCTCCGGCTGACAACGCATCTTTTTGGTTCAGATTCGTTTATAACTATGACGAATTTGCTATTAACTATATATTTATATTGAGTTTTTTTTAAAAATGACGAAATATGCTCGTACTGGGTCTGAAATCACGGGATCTCAGTTTCAGTTTAAAACCGTCCCAGTCGAGCACCCCTACCTCCTCCCGGGATCCTATTTGATTTACAATTTTCAGCTGTGGCTACTTTCAGCACAATTTAAGTCCACACAGCAAAGTTTTAGATCTGGAAGCTTAGTCTAAAAAATARATGTATGTCTTTATGTAAACTGTATATAGTAATAAAAAGTCAGYCGTATTCTTTTATTTATTCAGCTTTAGATCATCAATATCAAAACCAAAAAAAATAAAAAAATAAATAAATTACAGATTAAACCGAGGTGTAATTTTAATTTAGTGAAATGCCATTTTTTCACAATTTTACGGTATCTGATATCTATTTATCTATGAAATATCTAAAAAGATTCTGATCCTTCGAAAAGGGAAATCGCAGTGTGACATATATAACGGCTGCGGAGGAGACTGAACCATTTGAAAAGAAAATCAAAATATCTTGGTGTAACTTCGATTAAAGAGAGGATATTACATGGGCGTGTGGAGATACGGATTTTATCTTCGAGCGATGAAAAGCTAGATCTCTCACGAGTGAGCGTAAATATTCTGTTTATCATAATTATATATGAAAGCAAATTATGTAGAAATACTTTTTTTTACTTCCAATATATAGGGAAACCTCGAATGTGTTATCTCACATATAAAGATTAAAATAATAAAGTGATATAGCGGCTCACGAGAACATTGCAAAAGTGGTTCCGGACGCTCCCCTTCCTAACCCTTTTCAACCGGAAGCAATTTATGGCGACAAGTTTGTTGAGAGCATTTAATTTCCTCCACATTTTGGCAGCGTCGGCTGTAGTGCTACAACGATTCATGAAGTGAAATACTCTCCTCTCSCTCCTTCCACGATCCCATTGTCTCTTCCGTCCTTTTCTTTCGCAGACTCAAAACCTAATTCAGACAATCGACAATAAAGTATTTTCRAATGGTTCATCGACTTTAGTGTGACCTAGTTTCGTCTCTCATGACGTCATATATTGGATTGCACGACACGGGGCCTTTCATGGGTCACACGCTAAGACGGCAACAACAAACTGTTGTCTTTTACCCTGGTTCCAGAGGTTTTCTCTTTTATAGATTTTTTTTAGTATTTATCGTATTTTTGTCTTTCTTTTTTAAATTTATTCTTGCGTCGTTAAAGACGAAAATACGATACTAAAAACCTCTGGAACCAAGGTAATTGTCTTTCATACAGTTGTCACAAACAATAACTACATATATTGCTGTTAGACGTGCTTGCATCGCTGATTTTTTAATGCCTTCTAAATTTGGTAAACATCGTTCTCACTTTTACATAGTTTACAGAACTTCCAGACTCAGACTGAAACCGGGTCATTTTGCCCCTTCAGTACTGTTATCTGTCTCGTTCTCGTCGTTGTTTTGAAACAATCTTTATTGGGATTGGTTGAAGGAGAATAGGGGGAGGAGACAGAACAATCTGGCGCGCAGAGAACTACTACTTTCACATTTATAAGAAAACATATTTTGATCAGTGTAATAGCTGTCATACTTTATTTCAAAAATGGTTTATTGATTTAGATTCTACATCAAAAATATATAGTAGTAAAAAAATGTATAATATTTGATATGATATAGGTTTATGTGCCCATCAATGTAGTTTTGTTTTGTAAAATCATATTTTTTACTTAATGACGTTTTTAGTTCTCTGTACGCCTTTGTAATGAGAATACAGTGTTTGATCAGAACGACGAGCGCGACCGACGTAAAAGTGATTTGCATAATCATCAAGAATATTTTGTTCACGAGAGAAACCGGTACAGCATAGCACCACTGAGTTATGTCGAGCAGAGCGAGTTCAGAGAGAGTTGGTAGGTTATTCACAGTTTACCAATTTTGAATGCCATTTCTGATGTATGGCAACRATCTTTTGAATTTGTTATTAAGCTTACATCTCGCTTGCAGAAAATAAATTGAAGAGCGCTGTAAATGGACAAATAGTGATGAACTTGGGACATGACACTACTAGTGAGAAGTCTAAAGTAAGTCCTTTGATATCACTTAATGTTGTTGCATAACACAGTTTGACTTATGCAGTATGGATTTAAACTTGGTGCTTTATTATCCATTCAGGTGGACTTCATTTATGGCGCTGTGCCTTCTCGAAGCAAGCACGACATATTATTAGTCTTRCAGTCCTGTGATTACAATGTAGAAACAGCTATATCTATATTTTCTCAGGGTACGTAAATTTTTTTCAATAAATTAGTATTTTGATTTTCTATTTCGCAGCTGTTTAAATCGGTTATCTTGGATATATTTTAGGTATTATTACAAATTTATCAAGACTCAATTTCACAATTCAAAGTCGAAGTGTTCGAGTGATGTGAACTGAGAAATTCCTCTTTTGGTGCGACGACATCGCGAAAATAAAATCTCTACGATAGTTAGTAATTATCTGTATTTGGTGTAGGTCAAGAAGAAGAGGTTCTTAAACAATGGAGCTATAAGGGAAAGAGAAGCAAGGTTTGTATTACAAGCAGTATTCTTGAGGTTAAATGTGATCTACCATATTCAACGTTGCACGAACTAAACTTATCAAATATTTATCGATTAACAAAGTTTTGCAAGGTAAAATCGTTCTTCGGACAGTAAATTTTAGGCTTAAAATCCTCTTATTTCCGGTATTTGAAGATTGTCTCGAGCTTTTATCGTGGTAAGTAATCTCTGAGAATTTTAGTTTTGTTAATCTTGTGAGGGACGGTCGCGCCGTAACCGTGTACCACTGCATTCTTCTTTGCATAACAACATCGGACGTGGCTGCGATCAGAAAATCATAAGCAAATTATGTTTTTCTTTTTCAACCTGTCGTTTGTTTATATTTTTGCTTGACCGTTTTTGCTATAAAACCGGTATTTTTTTACTTGGAAAGCTTGTATTTTTGTCATGTTGTCAAAACGAGCTGCAATATTTTTGCGAGCAAATTATAAAAGTTTTAACTTATTAAGGCTTAATGTTATTTTGGATTTTTTTTATGAATTTTTATGAAGCTTAATTTTATTTCCTCTGATACTTTTAAGATCTAGAGTTGGAAATATGCTAATGCCTGTAGCAAATTAACCTCACTTTGATGGAGAATTTCTGTTGACATTGACTTTAACTGGTTGTTATTCTTAGCCACTCGTTTTAAGTTATATTGGTCACAAGAATGTTTTCGCATATACTATAAAGTTGAACAATTTATTTGTGGTCAAATAACCATGTAGAAAAAAAAAAAAAAATGAATCATTTAGCAGGATTTATGGTAGTGAGATTTTGAAAATATGGAAATGAAAATTATTAGTGGGATATCCATTTCAAAAAAAATTTGCAAGAAAATGTTAACTTTTAAATTTTAACGTTAAATTTTGAAAGTTCGTCTTCAAATCAATATATTTAGAGAATAGTGGTAAAAATTGTTGACTTTTACATCCAATATAGATGTATGATTTGAAATTCGATAGAAAATTTAATCTGTTTTTGAGATTCCTGTGGCTTATAATGACTGCAAAGGTTCACATATTATTTCAAGAAAAGTTCATAACAATTATTATCAATGTAAATTCCCTTGACTTTGATCTCAATATGTCAGAAATATATATTTTAAACTTTTTTAAAATACATACTTGAAAAAATAAATTACTAATTTCAATGAATTTAACAAGTGATTATCAAAAAACGTCTAAACAACAAAGAATAAAAAATAKTTAGAAAGGGAAGGAAAAAATAATATAGAAAAATTTACGAGAATTGATATTTAAATAACAAATAACAGGAATAGAAAATAAATAAATAAAAAAAACAGGAAGAACTTATTGTTAAAGAGAAAAAAGAATAAAAATGTGAATTGAACTTTTGGTATGACAAATACAACTATGATTCTTCGATTATTCTTAATCTTTGGAACAAGTTTTTAATACTTTTTGAAGATAAATTTATTTTGTTGAAAATTTATCCACTAGTAACAAAGAGGGCATTGTAGTCAAGGTCGCCAAACATCTGCTGATTTTTTTTTTATGTTTTAACATATTTATGTCAAAGTTAGTCAGTATTACCTTAGTAACATTTTAAAACTATATGTAGAATAATATATTCAGATGTTGAATAATATTAATAACCAGAATTTCATGTGGAGACATCAGACAAGGTAGTATAAACTATAGAGATGAAACGTGCACTGTCATTGGCCAACAACTGTGTTTATAAAAGAGAACAAAGGTTTGCCACTTGTGCGTTCAAGAAAGAAGTATAACGAAATATAAAATGGCTGGTTGTGTCTTAGTTCTCTTTAAAACACATTAGGAGATGGAGATCACTTGTGCAAAAAAAAAAAAACATAAAAAAAAAACACTTCATGCCCCTTAATCTCACGCTGTGGTTTATATAATTATATTCATAGAGTCCACATTAGATTTATATTTCTTGATTATAGTTAAAAGAATTGAAAGAAAGAAAAATTATGACCTTTTGAATATAAGGCAAATATCAGCAATATTTCTCGTAACATTTTGGTAAATATTAAAAAATGGTTGAGTTCATACGAATCGTGATATCCAAAAAGGGCTCAAATTTTCAAAGTCTTTTCTAATCACTCCTCAAATATGCTACGATATTTAACAAGACAGCTTGGTAGTAAGTGTGAAAACTGGCCACTACATGTATATGCTATTAGTATTAACATATTAATGTTTCAATCTCATGCTTCATTCTGATTGGCTACTCTRCTTGAGGCCTATTCCCCAATTTATGCTAAAACATTAATAGAAGAGAAAAAAATCTAATGAAGCCTGTTTTTAGCAACAACTGGTAAAAAAATGACAGATTAGTATCTGTATACTAAAAGACAATTTGACCATTTGGCTTTCAGGCAATAGCACATTTCACATTTGGCCTATTCTTGATGTCAATTTTTTCTTGAGGTCTAAATGTTAATTTGCAAGAATTTTGATTGTTCATGCGCACAATCACTGTACATATTTTTCATTTGTGTTGAAACACACTTTGATTGGTAACAAACTCATAACAGATATTTGTCATATTAGCAGGATGGAAACAAGAAAAAGCGAAACAAGAAAAARCAGAATAATAAAGACATTAAAGAATCTCCTCAAACAGAAAATAGCACAGCAACAAAATCAACCAGTGAGACGACCAGTATCCATGAACAAACATCGCAGACACTACCCGGACCAGGTAAAGACAAAACAAGGAAGCATTTATATCACTGTAATTCACTATAATTAGTGTTGGCATTTCATAAGYCATGTCTGTGTTGTATGGGAATTACAATCACTCTCCTGTGGCATTAACATGAATTACATTACGATTAATGACCAAACACGATGAACAAGGTAACTGATGAGTTTAGTTTCTATTAAGCATATGCAGTTTACTGCAACAGAGAGCATTTTGAATAATTATATATCCTTTATCCAAAGCAAGCCATTTATTGGATAAGGTAGTGCTGCTATATATCTATGCTTTCTTCAAAACCTAGTGAAGGTCGATGATGCGATATTAAAACTGAGAACTTTAGTGGTGTTGGGTTGTCTCAACAATGATGATTTACAAGGTCAATCGTCTGACCAAATATACAGCTGTTATTGGAGTAATAATACATGCATTATTGATGAGTTATATAAACTATACTAATGATATTAAGCTTTTTAATGTGATGTTTAACTAATTTCCCTGTAAATGTACTTGCAGCACTTTCCCTAAACTTGTCAAGTGATATACCATCCCCAAKCCCAGTAGAAAATGGTATTTCGAGTCCTGACAGTTCCTCAAATTCATCYCCGGAGATACTCATGAGTACRAAACCTCCTTCAAGATCTTCAAATCATTCCTCACATCAACCAAAGCATGCTGGMAAACATACTATACCTAAAYCTGAGAAGTTAAGTCCAACATCGCACGCTGATGCTTTGAAAAAGTCAACAAAAGACTTGACAAGATCAAGTTTTTCTTTAGCWAGATATCAAGTTGTTCTTGAAGAGGTAAAGTGTTGAGTTTCTACTGTTTGCAAAAAAGAAAGTAAATGTAGAAAGGGAAATTTTAGACACAGTGCTAAATGGTATCCTGAGTACCCTGACTTTTTTTATTATATTGTGGCAGTGATTTTCAGTCAATGCTTTCAATTCTTATTAATTCTTGATATTTTTGTTCTTGAAGGAATGTGAGCAATCATTTAAAAGAATTACAAAAACATTTGAAAATATAAGAAAATGGTAAGTAATATGCATACAATATACATATACATACTTTAACTAAACAAACACTGTATAATTTTTGTTTTTCTTTCTATTAAATGCATCATTAATACTTACTGTTTTGACTAATTTAGGTAATTGAAATAGTTGATACTTATTAAAATAGTATTAAGTACAATAGCCTCCAAATAACACACAATTTATATATTGCAGCATCAATGAAAGAGAAGAATTTTTAACCAAAGCATTAAAAGRTTTTAAAGAACAAGGAGGTAAGAGAAACATTGGCTGTATTCTCACTGGATGTTAGACAGGCAGTTGCATTGGKTTTTTTAGGGTACCTGAGAAAAATAGCAGAAACATATAGCCTCAAATGCTGAAAACTTTCTTCAATTTCTTGTGCTCCTACTACTTAAGTTAACAAATTATGAGCAAACAAGCACGACATAAGTTTATAATTATTATTCTCATGCTARGTTCTAAAAGCTTTTGTTTATATTTGCTTACATGTAGTGTGAATTGACCTTAAGTATTCCTTATTACAGTTAATTAAGTGTTTAAGACATGCATAACAATGTTCTTTCAATTCAGATAAATTGTTACAACAGMGATTAGAAGATGCAGCRGCTTTACGGCTTAAAACAGAACGAGTTCAGTCGATGCCTGATGAACAGGTGGTCCTACTTAGAGCTGACATCAAGGTAATTATTAATAGGTCTATAAGTAAATATACCTCATAACACTTGACGTAATATGTCAAGATGGTGAATGTTCAAGTGGAGTTTCAATTGTACCTAAGTGCCACAAGTGCTGATATCARTAACACACTCTAAGTCATTATATAATATCAATTTGTGATTACAAATTTAGTACTATTGGTGCCAAGAAAAAGTAAAATTTTTAAAGGAATAATWTAATTATGTGTATAGAGCTTTGTAGCAGAGAGGAARATWGATGAAGAGTTGGCACAAACAAAACGTTTTGTTTGTGATGAAGAAAAACTCATCCAGGTATGATCCCTTGATATTGCTATATTRATATAATTTMATTTTAACAAGCTGCAAATTGACCTCCCTCCCTTCCTCCATCATGCAATCAGTGAACATTAGAAAGTGTGTCTCAAAACTGACTTTTTTCTTTCTCTGTGCCAGGAATTAAAGACATTTGGTCAAGGTGAGCATGAATTGTTAATTTGATTGCCTTTTTTGTGATAATTATAGTCAATTGAATGAGATCTTGATCTAGGGTTTGTATGAGCTGATTAATTGGTTGATTTGTTTTGCTAATTATGTCATTGSCTGATTTGTTTATTTTTTCATTGGRTCATCAATGGGTTTGTTGWTATGAAATAAATGCATTGACTGATTAATTGACTTTCAATGATTTTTAATAATGATTAAGGATTATTGTTCCCTTATATAGTTGTACCAATCAAAGGCACTTATACCCCAGTYGTGCTGAATCATCACATACCCAGCTCAGTATCAAAACCAAAGAGCATTGCACCAGACAAGCAAGTATCCACATCTCTCCCGCCTAGTAGCTCCACTTCAAAACAAMCAGCCTCAACAGTCAAGTCCTCAACAGAGCAAATATCAATTGCACCAACAAACAAGTCCAATGTTTCATCAGACATAAAGAGCTCTTCTAATCATCCTTCTARTTCACTGGATAAGCAGTTGACTCCAAAGCAAACTCCAGTTTCCAATAAATTGTCATCTMAAACTATGAATAATGGTTTTGATAATCCTCCCAAAAATTCAACTTTCAAACATGCCAATGAATCACTTCCACAAGGTGAAAGTCAAGATGCAAGTTTGTCCGAACACCACAAAGACAATGAGGCACAACATAAAAAACACACCAAACCTTCATCAAAGACAACTTCAAAGCARCCTTCACMTGCCAACACAACTTCACACAAYCAAACTGTTGGTAAAGGTAGCACTAGTTCTAGTAACATTGAGAGCCAAGCCAAAATGTCAGCTATTTCTACTACCAATGGTCCWCCTCCAAAGATATCTACACTCATCTCAATGGCTATGGCTAAAAGTTCTGCAGTAGTTTCTGGAGAGGATGCCACCAATGTAGCAAACCTTCAGGTAAGGTTTGTTTGTCAAGACTGCATCATCAACAACAAATCATCGTCAACAAATTACAGTTCATGAATTTTGTTATTAAGAGATAAAATTGCTAGCAGCTTGTATTACCCAATGTGCTCATTTCTTCTGACTRATTTTCACTGGTATTAAACATCAATACCTTTATCTCAACAGGAA